GCTTGTCTGTCCAGTCACGCCAAATAGTGATTAATGATGGATAACTATGCCAAATCTGCTGTCTGAATTGCTGTCCATGAATAATATTAGTTTATCTAATTATCAGTTACGATAAAATGTGTTTTCACCGAGTGTTTTTAGAGGTCACCTGCAATATTTTGATTTGATCATTGAATCCACTTGGACATTAAAGTCACGGCTACAGATGATGTTCAAAGATCACTGTAGAAGTGACCAGAAAATCTCAATATTGAGGTGAATTTAGAGCTGAGAGATTATGCGTGCCATGTAATCCAAAAAGTTTAACTCATTCCTATCAAATACCTTCAAAATACAAAGATAGCAATGTATGTTCTGTACAGTGCTAGGTTTTATTAAGTCTTCAGTTTACGAAAAAATTACAATTTGTAAAAACAGTATAATTATACAGTGGTAGCTAAATTTGTATATATATGTGTCTATGAAGGGAATGCACTTAGGATCTGTTAGGAATTAAACTAAATATCATTGGTGCTAAGTGAGCGCTGAACGCTGTTCATTTACAAAAAAGAAAAAGGAGCCTCTGTCCAGTACAAATACATATACACTGAATAAATATTTTGAAAAAAGATCAGTACATTGTGGAAGAAAAACAGCAATTTAGTGGTACAGAATCTGTGCAAGCCTTTCGAGGAATATAAGAACGTCATTTTAAGTAAATCTTCTTCATCAAATGGGAATGTGGCCCTCTATGAGTCCTAAAGTGAGCAGGCAAGTGTCTTCTCAGAAATCTTCTTTAAAACAAGTGTAGAAAAGCACTTAGTGAGGACTAACTGCTTCAAGGTTTCCTTAAATCTATAAGCTGTCTAAGGACAGCTGCAGAACAAAAACATTGTCAATACTGTTTCAGTTATTATGAGCGAATCCATTTCTCCGGACCCTCAGGCCGTGTGTAATTGTTGTTTTGTTGGCACAAATTGCTTTCCCATTAAAGAGGACCATTAAGCCTGGAAGCATCTGAGCAGTGTATAAATCTCTGGCGTATAAAGTCCACAGTGTGAACCGGTAGTTCATCTCTTCCTGTTCCTGTTGTGCTTCACCATCTTCTTCCTCTTCAGGATCATCTCGTAGAGTTTCTCCAAGCCCAGCTGGAGCCCCTGACCGTCCACAGCGCTGCAGCTCTGCACGTGATACAGCGTGTACATGCTCAGTTCATGAACGGAGAGCAGCTTCTCCACCTCGCTCACAGACAAGGCCGAGTCCAGGTCCTGTTTGTTGGCGAGAATTAGCACCGGGACTCCCTGATTCTCTGACGTGCGGGTGATCTTATGGAGCTCCACTTTGGCCTCCTCCATTCGCTCCACCTCGGTGGAGTCCACCACAAACACCATCCCGTCTGTCCTGCGAGTGTAGGACTTCCAGAGCGGACGCAGCTTGTCCTGCCCGCCCACATCCCAAATCTGGAAGTTTATTCCACGAGATGGCCCAACTGCCACTTTGATCTTCTCCGTGTTGAAGCCCTTGGTTGGGATTGTTTTGACAAACTCCTTGAGTTTGAGCCTGTAGAGCAGAGAGGTTTTTCCGGCCGAATCGAGGCCAATGACGACCACGTGTAGGCACTGGAAGCTTGGCAGGAACGGCGTGCTGGGAGCGATATCAGTCAGCTGGTTCCCCATGACTCCAGCCAGCAATTCACACCTACTTAGGTGAGGTGAAAGATTCCTGTTTTAATCCGTTCTCAGTGGATTGGCATTTGGTCTCTGTCCAAGATCAGATGGTGCTGGAGGCCTTATCAAAACACACACACACACACACACACACACACACACAGGCTGGGTTAACATTTAATGAAAAGACAATGGGTGTTTAAGGAATGTTTGCAAACCAAGCTGCACTTAAAATGTTTCGCTACTACCGAGATGCTTACTTTGCAATAGCAGTGTGTGTGATTTCAAAATTTCAAATTTTAGATTTAAAACTATAAATGTGCCACATTACAGAGCTAGACATTAGTTAACTGGTGTCTGAGGTAATGTAGTTTCTTATTTGCTAAGGGTTAATCCTCTTAAGATTGTTAAACCTGAAGGGCTTTTCCTGGGCCAGATTGATTTGAATGCAGCCGATGGATAACATGTATTCGGGGGGTCTCTCTGCTGACCGCCTATAAGGACTGCTTCAGCTGCACTAATCCGGTTGTTGTTGACATCCTGATACCCATCAAACAGCTGCTGTTTGGACTAAATAAAACCATTACATGTTTACAAGGGCAGGTTTTATCTTGTTTTTTTGTTTTTATTTTTCACTTTGACCCCCCCCCCCCCCAAAAAAAAAAAAATAAAATAAATAAATAATACAGTGTGCAAAGACTTTCATCCAGCTGTACACAGCTTGCACAAGCATTGCCCTGTCATGTTTATTGACAGATGTTTTTATAACCTCGTTGTATGACTGTGTATATATATGTGTGTCTGTGTGTGTGTATGAGGAATAATCCACCTTTTTCTCCAGTTTTCTCCCTCTCCTGCATGAAATCTCACCATCTACTTCATGTGACGACGTGTTTATCCTGATCGATATAACGCAAATAAATTTAAGAACTTCAACATCGTCTACCTATTGAGCTTGTAGGAATCCTGATATATTGGATTGGTTGGATAGGATAGGAAAATAAAACATGCATGCAGTTTGCAGAGCCTGCACGAATCCCAGCATTGAAAACCGAGCCTGACCTCTCCTCTGCGTATTTAAAAACCTTCCTACCTTTTTAGATGTTCGGTGAAATCATCATCCACAAGCGATAAACACGGCCATAGTTCACAACAAGCGATCTTCGTGTTCTCCTCCAGCAGCACTGAGAAGCTCCGGAGAGACTCGAGCGCACAGCACCTTAAGCCCGGGTGACGTCACGGCCACCTGGAGGGCTGCTGCTCCGCGCCCCCTGCTGGTGCAGCAGTGAATTGCGTGCATTCGGGGGTGTCATGACCAGCAAACACTGATGCATAACGTGCATATAGAAATTAATACAGTAAAACACCCCCCAGTGTTACTCTTTCTTAAAGTGTGAGCAAGTGAAAATGCATTCATAAAACATCTACACAAGAAGAACAGGTGTAATTTCAAATACACAAGTGAGTTTGACTTGTTCCTTTAGTCTTAAGAGGTTGTGAACATAGAGTGAATAAAATTCAATTCCTGGTTGTGATAAAAGATGACAAAGTTTGCTGTAAATCTCACATTAAACATAACCAAAACATTTGAAATGGTCATTTGTGTGTCTGCAAAAAGTCTTGCATGTGTTTTTAAGAATTTGTGGGCATGCATTTTACATGTATTATATGTTTTTAATCTACCTGCCTCTTGTTAATGGGTCTCATTTGAAAAAAAGAGGTCAGTGAAACAACCTGGTTAAATTAATGATTTCAAACAACTTGATAGTTAACTAGCTCGAGAAATATCTTCACATGTATTGGTCTGATCCCCACCCCAGTAACAGCAGTACTGTCAGAAAATAAAATTGAGTATTTATTGGCTTTACTGGAGTTTTCACACTTGCAGTGGTTCAGGTTAGACCATTAAGTTACAGAGACTCCAGAGTGCCCAAAGTGCCATAATATTTGCATGTCATACTACTGCGTGAAGTGTGTGCCCATAGAGTATCACTCTGCAATGATACTTTGGGTCCACCTTGTGTAGAGTCAATGACAGAGCAGGAGAAAAATATTGGTGACTTACTGTAGGTAGGGCGGACACTGGGTTTGGAAAGTGAAAAAAAACATATAACATAACAATTTATACTTTTTAATTGGCTCTAGTTAAAAACATGAGAAAAAGCATACTCACTAAAACCAAAAGGATACGGAGAACAGCAGATGAAATAACATTGATGGGTAAATAACTAAGTACACCTTGTGATACAGTAGCTTGGTCAGATGACCCCACATTTGACTCGAGAATATGTTGGTATACAGAGAAGTTCATGATGGACTCAATGATGGTGCTCAGGTCCAATGGCTGCAAAACAAACCCAAGACATAACCCCTCCACCACCGTGCTGACAGTGGGTGTGAGATCTTTGTGCCGATGTGCTGTGTTTGGTTTTGGTTAAACTCGGCATTCTGAATTGTAAGCAAACATCTCCACTTCGGTCTCGTCTGTAAAAAGCACATTGTTCCTGAAGTCTTGTGGTTTTCTTCAAATGTAACTTTGCAAACCTAAGCTGTGCTGCAGTGTTGTTTTTTAAATCAATTCCTTCTAGAAACCCTTCCAGACCGGTCATACTTAATAAGTATGTCTCTAATTGTACTATCATACTTTTAATATGTTAACTGAGCCCAGCTGAGTGTGGGATGTAGCTCTTGGCACTTTTGCAGTTTCTCTGAATGCTGCGTGGTCTGAGCTTGGGGTTAATTTCCTGGGATGTCCAGTCCTAGAAATATTGTCAGTTGTCTTCAGTGTTTTCCACTCATGAATAATCTTTCTCACTGTAGAATGATGGACTTTAAATAGTTTTGAAGCTGACCTTATAATTCTCTCCAGGTTTGTAGGCAGCAACAATTGTCTTTCCTCAGCGCCATTGTGATAACACACACCTGATCGCTTCAGACCAGAAAACAGCCAAAACGTCTTCTTTTATAAAGCTGGTCACACTTGCTGATGATCAGTTAATCAAATGCATTTGATTAGCAGCACCCAGCTGCTACTGCTTCCCTCTCAGTTCCTATCAAAGCAGTAAAGGTTTCACAGGACTGCACAGAGCCATGTGACCGTCACATGACTGTCCAAGGACTATCACACAAGACCTTAAAACGAGATTGTAACTTTGGTTTATGCTTCTAAGTTTAGAAATTAAACATTTTACCTGCATATTTTTCTGTATTAAAATTTTTAAGTTAGCTATATAAATATGCACTATAGTGTGACAATGGAAAGCTGACCTCAAGACAACCTGCTCACACCCTTTTAGTGTATAAAATATCACGAAGAAGCAACGAATGAGGGAAAAAATGAAAACATATCATATGTAACATTAACCTTCACAGTTTAATAAAGTGCAAATGACAAACAATAAGGAGATCTATGGTCGACACAGTAGTACACACGTGTTCGCGTGCACACACACAAATTTAAAGACAATTTAAAATTGGTATGACTTCAAAATAATTTTTACATTTCACAAATTGTGCTCATTTCGCACAATGCTTTGTGCATTTTGCACACGTGCATGTTTGAAGCGTCAATATTTTTACATTATAACACTGTAGTGATTAATTTAAAGTCTTATTATGTGTTAAAACAACAGAGAGCAGTTATCGTGTATGAACTGCGGATTCAGTACACTGGAGTCATATTCTCACAGGATGTGGAATTGTTGAATTGGTGCCACAGTCAATATACTCAAAGGTCTCCACGGACAGCTGCTCCGTGTGCGAGAGATAGGAAATATTCATTGTCATTCTGAAAAAAGAAAAAAAAACATCTTTGTTACATTTTCATATTTCACATCTGTGCTAATTTTTTTGGACTTTGTTATAATTCTGGGTTTATTGATGGGCGTTCCCTTCAACTCTAGGAGCATTTTAGTGTCTTTTAGCTGTTACATCCAAAATGATTCTCTCATTGGCTTTGTTTTCAGCCACATCAGCCAAAAGAGCTGCAATAAACCTGCTGTGCTCTGCGTAGCCAGCAATAAACAGCTGACAGACAAAGCTAGCAACCAGCTCGTGAGTCTTTCCAAACAAATCAAACAAATCTAGGATGAAATAAAATCCCACCTGACCTTCCTAAGAATCAGCTGATTCTTTTTCTAGTGCACAAACTTTTGTATTTTGCATGCCTTCATTAAAATACCAAACTCCAGAGTGTCAAAATATGACTATATAAGAAATTATTTTTGCACAGAAGGATCCAAAATGTAGATATAAGGAAGAGTTTTCATTTTCTGCAGCTTGTTTTGAACAGCCAACTATCCCACACAGTGACATGATCCTTTGCATTCACTTTTCAAAGGTTTCTGCAGTGAATTATCAGAAAACAGATAACCAATCCTTTTTGTCTGTTACTGTACATCACAGACATTGTAGGGCATTAAAAGGGAAAGGGGGGCACAAGGAAATACTTTCTTATTCTCATTTAAAATGTCTGACTTTTAAAAAAATAATTATCTGAGTCTTACAACAAACAATTGATAGATTGATGCATATATACCATCAGAACAGTGTACATCACTGTCACAACAGTGTTTATTTTCATTCAAAGGCTTTATGATTTTTCCTATAATGGTGGGCCGGTCTCTAGTCGATTTTTTTTGTCCCAGTCCAGCCCTGTAAGCAGCTCATCTGCAGTCTGGTGTTACCTACATCTTCCTATTCAGAAGGCAGAATTTCCGAGTTCTGAGTACAATCGAAAGCACCACGACTGCAGTTTTTGTGTTGGATGTAAAAAGCAGGCCAGGATAGAATCAGGCGTGGGATTTCTCTTGTGGAAATGTGCACATTATTTTTTTCTTTCTATTGGTAGGTGGCACAGTGCACTGGTGGCAAGTAAGCAAGCTAGAAGACTGGCAATCTTGCTGGGTATCCAGTTACGGAAGCAACACATTAACAAGAGAATTCTGAGTAAAACCAAAGTTTTTTTCTTTATTAACTAGTTACTTTGAAATTAACCTTTTGATAGAAGTAACTAGTAATGTAACTAAGTTACTAATTTAAAGTAACTCACCCAACACTGGTTACTGTACATCACAGACATTAAGTTGGTGCGTTTTTGCTGTTGAAACGGCGATATATCACACGTTACTGATGCTCAAATGCTGAGCAAAAATGTGATTCCTGTGGATAGCTCTTGTTCTTATGAAGTGGTGAGGACTGAAAAATGCTCGTAAATACACTCATCAGCCACTTTTTTAAGTACAAATGTTCAACTGCTCTTTGACCCAATATCACAGCAGCATTTAAGCATGTGGACATGGTTAAGATGACCTGCTGAAGTTCACATTGAACATCAGAATATAGAAGAAAGCTGCTTTAAGATGCTCTCTTATTCACAAGGGGTCTCACGGCAGGTAGCTCCATATGTTTTAAGTTGGCAGATTTCTTTTTTATGCCAAATCTCCCCAAAGGGATTCCTGTCTCTTCCCAGGATTAAACTGAGGATCTGTTACTCGGGTGAATTTGTAAACCACTACACTACGGAGCCACCAACATCTGAACAAGTTGCTTTGAATGTGGCATATTTGTTGGAGCCAGATGTTACTAGGATTTTTTTTTTTAAATGAACATCTGTAAGGTTTACAGAGAATGGTTGAAAAATGAGAAAATATCAAGTGAGCTGCAGTTCTATAGATGAAAATGCCTTTTTACTGCCACACGTCAGAGACGAATGGTCAGACTGGAAGAGAGCTGTAATTCAAAATCATTCGTTAAAATCAACCAAGGTGTGCATGAAGCACCTCTGACTGTGCAATAGACCACATATTGAAGCAGATGGGATACCACAGCAGCCCAAAAGGTGTGCTACCGAGCTACCCTGCTACCCAGTGTGGCATAATCCACACTGGAGTTTAACTGAGAACGGGAAACTGAGGCTACCATTCCCACCAAAATTGGACCACAGAGGACAAACATTGCCTGGTCTGATGAGTTTCGGTTCCTGCTGTTACATTCACGTGGTAGAGTCACAATTTGGTGTAAACAACATGAAAGGATGAACGCATGGATCCATCCTGACTCATATCAACACAGTGGTGTAGAGGATAGTTTCTTGGCATACTTTGGGCCCCTTGGTAACAATTGAGCACTGTTTAAATGCCTACATGAATATTGTTGCCTAACATGACCATAACTGTGACAAATGCTGTTTGGTTCCTTTTTTTAAGCAACTTAAAAACAACATGTACACGTAGTCAGTACAATCTATTTGACTTTTATTCTATCCATCTATTTATGAAACTCAGGGTAGTACGCGAGGGGGCTGGAGCCCACCCCAGAATATCATAAGGTACACATCTGGACAATTCACCATTTTCTCACACAGCTAACAGACAAGCGCACAACCATTCACACCCACCGCCAGTTTTAAATCATAAATGAACCTAAACCCACGAATCTCCCCACACAGAAAGGTCCTGGTTGGCCGGTAGATTCAAACATAGGACATTCTTGCCACCACACCACTGTGCTACCTGTGTCTTAATTAGTCCAGTTAGCATCAAAGTTACGAGCCACTGAAATCACTGAATGAGCACATTTCTCTCGAACGCATTTAAGGTAAAAAGCAGCTCCTCAATAGCAGCACTGTGACTGTTCTGTGGTTTAATTTCAAGTTCACTGAATTTCAAAGGAAAAACTGGACTTCCAGGAAGACTTTTCATGTCCTTCTATGAAATTTCAGATTAAAAGATTCGACTGTGGCTTTGTGAAGAAAAATAATTTTGTGGTTGTGGTTTTTGTTTACTGCGGAAAAGTGAAGCTTTTAACATTGTGGGTTTAAAAAACTCTAAAGTGTCTCTGCCTCTTCCGTTGACAGAGGTTGACACTTACTGAAGCTCCAGAAATAAGGTGTGAATCTTGATGCTGCTTGACTTGCAGTAAGTGCTGAAAGACATGAACAAGTTGTGCTGAAGTCAGACATTTAAACAACAACAACGGACTCTAATAGTTTTTATCTTGAGATGTTTTTTGATGTTATGTGCTGAAAACAAAGATTTCTTCCTTACGCTATGCCTTC